CAATATTGTGACTGAAGTACTCATTTGCTCAATCAGGAAAGGAGAAAGCCTTCAGAGAATTGTCAGCATGTTTATCTGACAATTGCTTGCTAAACAGTGGATTTTCCTGCTGGCTGTATCATTCCTCCTGTCTTTCCTGGCCAACATGTTCTGTAGTACTGCAGTCCCATACTGTTCAATACAGGGTTGAACACAGAAGAATGGATGCTTGTACAAATTTGTGTGTGTGTATATAAATATGTATATATGTATGGTTTTTGTAAGAGCATATAATTAAAAATAAAACCATAAATAAATGTTTCAATTTTATTGGAGTAGCAATATTGAGGTAATAACTAGAAAAGATTGTTTTCCTGAAATAGAACAAAGTGTCACTTTCTAATAGAAATTCAACTATTCTTCTATCCCTCCTGAAGAAACTAACTCTTCTTATGAACTTGTCAATTATTAGTTTATTTCAGACTGTAGTGTTGGGGATGCATAACTGATAAAACCCAGCTGAAGCTATCTGACCAGTTTTCATCATCTCAATATTTTCTCTCCCTGCTGACATGCAAGTGTGTCTTCAGCTCTGAAAAGCATTTTTTTTTTAAAAAGGAAGTTTAACTCTTTACAGCTCTTCTGCTAAAGCATATCTTTTAACTTTAGAACTAAAAGTGTATGTAGGGAGAGGAGGGTTCCTATGTAGTCTGCATTTTTTTTCAGCAGTATCAATTGTATAGATAAAGGGAGACCTGCCCCAGAATAGTGCTTAGGCAGGAGGTTAGAATATTGTATCTTGAAGTACTTGCTGGGGATGAATACAGAATTTGAATCTTCCCTAATCACTGGGGTGATCTACTTTCACCTCTACTTAACCTAACTCTCTCAGTTCCTTTTAAAACAAATGACCAAACGTAAGAGGCTTTAATCCAAAATTAATGATGTCCTCATGATACGGGCATTTGTTTTTCTTCTTTTACCGTGGTGGAATCGCTCATTAGTTTTTAATGAAAGCTAGGTGTGGTTGAGGGATGAGGACTATAGAGCTGAAAGTCAATACAGAATAAGACAAACATATAAATTTAGGAGAAGGAGCTAAGATTGTTACCAGAAGTTAATTGTGGCAGGTAGCTTATGGTGAGTTGCAAAGGCTGCATCTGGAAAACCACAAACAAATACATACCAAATGTCTAATTTTCCCTTGGTAAATTGTTTATCTTAAAACTCTGAATCTGGATTTTGATGTCATGATTCATGTCTTTGTGCATGAGGCTGGGATTTCTTCATTGCACTGTGCATAAGCTTAAAGTTTGGAACAAATTAGAAATTGTTGCTAAGGCAGAGTGAAATGTCCTGTTATTGGAAGGTATTTCAGACAGAGACAATGTTGGTCTTTTGTTCTATTATTTGCAGCCAAGCATCAGGTGATCTGTAGGTGAAGTTTAAAGAATTGCTTTGACAGATAAAATAAAAAATATTTATCAGTCTTGGATGCTACACAGGCCATTGCTTTCTTTTTGTATTACACTGTGGTCATTCTCCTGAGGTGCTTGAACAAAGAATACTGATGTTTGAAGAGAAATTGGTAACAATGAATTATCCTCAAACTTGATGGCTTGAGGGACACACTGCTAGACTTGCCTGTTTTCTGCTTTTCTTCATGGAAAAAGGAAAAGTGACTATGAGTGGAGTAGAATTCAATCTGCTTTTAAGAAGTGGATTTAATTTCCAGAGATGCTTTTCCTAGTGCGTTCCTGATGTGCTGCTAGCTGCTACTTGTGCATTAATACTTGTAATGTGCTTGAGATTTTCATAGTCATTCTTACTGTTTCTACTTGCACTGATGTCTCTAATCTATGCATAGTGAAAAATGGTTATATGTAGATGAGGAAATATTTTTACTGAGAAAAATGTAATCTTAACTTTTTGAGAGGCTAATTTAGAAAATCGTCAAGGAATGGTGACTGCTCTGTGAAACAGCAGATATGGGTCTGGCTGGTAAATGTATGGATGGTTGTTATTAATTCATATTAATGATCTTTATATCTTCTGAATGACATCTTTGGGAGACAAAATATATTCATTGCGTGTAAGAAATCTCATCTTTTCCCACACAATATCACTTAAAAGGAACATGCCTGAATATGACCTTTCATATAAGGAGCATGAAAAAACACTGTTAGGAGAGGTGCAAACAGTTAAATCAACAGTTTATTTTGCTTTTCTATTTCCTTCTGTTTTGAATAAATAATTTTCAAGATTATTGTTTGTTACCTCACTCTGATATCAGTGAGAGAGAAGTACTAAACAATTACTCGTTACAATGTTTGGGTTTTTTTTCTCCTTCATTTTTTAATTTGTTCCATACCTGCTGCGAAATTTCAAAGACAAATTGCCTATATCTGCATGGTTTTGTGATTTCCATAATCAATGAAATCCCAGTGTTACACTAAAAGCCTTTCAGGAAGGCATCAATATCCACCACTTCAGAACTAGTCTCTTACCTCCTGTTCAATCACTGTGGCTCTTGAATGAAACATTCTGATTGCCTCTTGAAAATCCTTGTTTTAAGAGTGCCTGTGTTACTGGCCCATTTGAGCTTGCTGCTCCCTCTCTTACCAGTCCTTTGCCATTTTCATGAATTTTAATCAGAACGTTAGTATAAAGTTTATTTTTAAACTATTCTGGCTTCAAATACTAAAAATATTCCTGATTTATAATAACTATCTACAAGGAATTCATTGAAGTCATTCTGATAAATAATGTGTTTTGCTTTAATTTGTCATTACTGGCAGAAAAGTAACCACACTTAGAACAAGTGCTCATATCTCACATTTAGAGTGATGTTTATTCGTCATTACAATTTTTTGCACAAGGAAGGCAAATTAAGTGAGAGCTTAGTAATTACATTACAATATGTACATACTAATCAAGTGAAAATGCTTACATGGGGAATTTCAAAGAAACTTTGAAATTAAGATGTTAAATCAGAACACAATTTTGTAAGAGTAAACTTAAAATTTGTTTTCATTCAGTCTTTGAGAAATGCACAGTTCATCACATACGTTACACATTATTATTTCCATTCCTTAAATTTTATATGAAAATATTACAATCTGAGCCTAAATGAATTAAAAATGAAATCAATTAAATATTTTTAATTTATAATAGCTTGTAATAATAAAGATGTGTTGTTTTTTCTTAGACTGTGCTCTGCTTGAGAAAGAGAGGTGGTCAATGCTCGAATGAGTGTGCGTTGAAGCCTAATAGGGAGCAGCAACAGAAAGTGCTGTGGATAATCCAGATATTTCAATCATATGAGCATCTAAAAATTGATTAATTCCTTCCAAGACTGACATGTAAAATGTTATAAAAATGTGTATTCTCAGCCTGATAAACAACATGAAAGACGAGACTGAACTGGAATATAGAACTCTTTAGGTAAAATTAATGCTAAATAAAATATTACTGTAAATGATATCTTTTGAAAATTCCAGTGATGACTAGGGAATCAAAGTATGGTCCTTATTCATGTTCACTGCTCCACACTGCTTTGTGAAAATAGTATTTTCAGGCTTAGTAAACTGTAAAGTGAAACTATTTGATATTTTGAAATTCAAATTTATGCTTCTTGAATTTTGTTTCATTACATTGAAATATAAATATATTTCAAATATATTGACAAACACAAAAAAGCCCAAACCACTTTTAAAATGTTTGGAATACTTTTTTGGTTTCATATTAAAAAAATTTGAATAAGCCTGAAACTATTTTTCTTTTTAACTTCTGGAATTGAAAGTGAACTGCAAATGCCTTTAGTCATGCAACAGTGCAGAAAAGTTTTTCATCCAGACTCATCTCAGCTTTGCTTTTTAGGGAAGTGTAATCTTAGTGTGCTACCAGTTGACCAAAGTTCAGCTCAAATGTACAGGTCTGTTGTGGGGATGGCATGGCCAATGTTTTTAGGCATGAAAACTGTATAAAGCTCTTGTGATTTCATGTCTAGCAGTCTGTACTTGGAGTCTAATATACAGAACCCAAGCATCAGCAGAAAATCAAAACCATTTGTTGACTTTTGTCAACAATTTTTTTGTTTTGATTTGTTGATCAAAACCATTGACTTCCCTATATACAAGCAGCAAATAAAAATAATTTTTTAAATAACATGAAAGCACTCTACTAAGTTTGCATAGTTAAATAATTAAAAGTGAAGACTGAAAAAAAAAAGAGGTAAAGTATATAGAAAAGAAAGAAATTTTATGATGCACATGTCTACATTAACCTGTCAAAACTATGGTAGAATAACACTTCTAGTAGTCCTATCTATTAATATGCATCCAGAAAGTTAAAGTATTCAGGCTGAGCATGCAAGTTCAGCTTTGCTTTCTTATAATACTATGTAATGCATGATCAGAATCCACTCAATAAAACATGCTTATAGGAAAATAACTTGAAGTTAAAACATGGTATTGCATTAAGAAGCTTTGGGTAAAGCTGAAACTTTCAGAAAATTTTACAACTTCTTTTAAACTTCCACATTTCCTTTGGCAAGGCTTACCTAAATGTGTGATAGATATTAATATAACATAGGGAGATTTTTTTTTTCCCAAAGTGGATGAATGACATGAATGTTTAAACACGATATGATGTTAAAGTTTGATGGGGAATTCAGGTTTTAATACATTAATCTATTTGCAAAGGTACTCTCTTCATTGGTAGTGGGGCATTCTACTTTGAATGTTGTGGAGTGTATTTTTCATGATAAAAGGTATGTTGATTATTGTGGTGTTTGTAAGCAGCATCTTGATTTTTCAGCATCTGCTTTTCAATGATGGTTTTCAATGAGAATGATTACAGTAGCTTCATGTCAGGGTGGAACATCATGATTGATGCTATATCAAGGAGAACATGGAATCTCCTAATGACTTTAATAGTGTCTATTTCTTTGTGGAATTTCTTTTCATTTCCTTAAAACAACGGGAACATTACTGATTGTATAACCTTATCCCCTGTCTCAGGTCTCCTAGAAACCCTGAACAGAAGATCATTAAACGAGTGATTGCTCTTGAAGGAGACATTATCAAGTAAGTATTTTAAGCCTTAGTCTCTGAGTCTTTATAGGAATAGTGCAGCTTTTCAGTGGATTTTAAATCAGTATCCTAGACAACGAGAACTTTCTAGTATTTTCTTTCTATCTGTTCTTAACAGGGATGTCAGCATTGTACCTGTCTCCTTTTTAATGAGAGGAGAAATGCTACACAAAACTACTCACTCTTTCATGAAAGGTACATGGGTGCAAATAATGCTTGTTTCTTAGAATATCTCTGTCACGTATCAAGGCAGGTAATTGTACAGCATTTTTTCAATAAGACTATAGGGCTGTGATTTTTCATTAGAGAGTCCAGCTGCTGTCTCATACTGTGGTTGGCAAATAAAAGTAGGAATTTTTTAGGGGTTGGGTTTTTTTGATTTGTTTCAGATTTTGGGGTTTTTAAAATTTATTTTATTTTATTTTTGAGACAAAGAACCCTCATAGATGACTGCTTTCACTGCAGTGTATAGGAATCTGTAGGAAATATGGTGGAACTGATTGGGAGTAAATTATTCTATCAAAAAAAATTGTAGCAAGAGTAGACTCTAGAGTACTTCAAGACTTGGTTTACTCTGACAGATAGGCCTTCCTGCTGGGGCTGGTTGGAAATAAATTACTAGTAAATGTAAATCAAAATTTTTTGTGGGAACAGTATTGTTTTGATGAAAATGCTTGTTTGGAAGGGTTTCTTTTTCCCAGGTACAGAATAGAATTGGCATAGAACTGGGAGGGTAAGTCCCCAGTTTCCCACACTAAGATATAAATGACCCTGGGAGCTCTCAGCCAATATGGCAGACTGAGACTCAATTAATTTAGATAATGATTCTTGCTCTGGTGTAGTGAATACTTAAGAAGTACTTGGCAGCTGCAATTCAAATCAACAATTTGAGTGTGGTTTCAATGAGCCGTAGTTAATAGCAGCACTGGTGGGGTTTTGGGCACTATGGAATATATCTGTGTCTTTTTTTTTCCCCTCAGGCAGTTGATATAATTTCTATTTTATTGAAAAATTCTGCATCATCTCAGTTTGAAAAATGAAAATAAATCCTGACATTTCTGTTGAAGCAAAATAGCTGAAATAACAGACACTAAGAAGATAATTTGATGTCCAAAAACTATGGACATCTACAGCTAAAACTAGATATCACTTTAAAGAGCTAAAAACATAGGAGTAGTATCTGCTACTGAGTGATACCTTTTATAGATCTGTGTCCTTAAGAAGGTACTTATTCCTTGATGTAGTTGATATTAGTGCTCTAATTCATATAAGTGATAAGACTGGTATTCATGATTCAATATTCCTCATTCATTTCTGTAGCAATGGCAAAAAGAGATAGCAACATAAGGTAACTTCATGTGTTACTTTTCACTGTTCTATATTATTAACATATTTGTCTGAATTTTTGAAACTGAATGTAGTTTTTGATAATACAAAAGACATTTAATAACCTAAATTCCAGCTGTAGGAAATTAATTATGCTGTACATTCAAATGCTTTAAGACTCTGAACTTTTCATTAACTTCTGTGGGTGTTTTTGGCCAAATGGACAAAGGTGTGGGGCACAATAGCTGTGAGAGTGTGTGCAGAATACTGATGAGCCTGCAGGTTAGTGAATCACTCATGGGTACAGCAGACTGTACAAAGATCCTCATTTGACTTTGGTAAAACCGGTTAGATTAATTTATTGATAGAAATATTAATCTCAGTAATTCAGATGTGCTTCTTTTAATATTTGAGTGCATGAAAATTGTCCCAGAGCCTTTTGCTTTAACTGTAGAAACTAGATTTTAGCTAAAGAATAAATTATTGGACTATTATAACTTCTTAAGGTTTTATTACATATTATCGTCCCTTAATTGTGTATGTGTAGGAAATGTAATACTTGACACTTTTCACGGCACTAGGGTAAAGCAAAAACTTAGATAATACGATAAAACAGCAAAGGTGGCAAGATTTTTCTAAAATATGTATTATTTTTGTAATGATACTGCAAGCAGGTATATGACTAGGATATTTGTGACTGAAAGCATGTATAGAAAACATAAATAGAAGATTTCGACTCCTATTTGATGTCTGAAGACAGTCTTTATTACAAACCAAAAAGAATTGGTTTTGATATCTTAAGATTTTATGCCTATATATTTTTATATATTGAATTATTCCTCATCAGCATACAATGATGCTCCGAATGAAATTGAAAGTTAACATGGATCGCGTACAAAAATGTGTCTGAAAGTATGGGACTCTTCCCTATTGTTCTGACTCTTTTTTGGTATGGGTGAAACGTGATGCAAAACTAATATATACTGACCTTAGAGGAACATGTGAACATCCTCATTCCTATCAAGGATTCCTATCAAGATATCAAGTCTTTGAAGCGGAGTATATATGCCTGTATGCTAAACACCCCACTTCTTTAAGCCTTTTGCTACTCCATTGATCAATAAGAATTCCTTCTTTCTGAGAAAACATCCAGTCTCACTGCAGAGCAGTTATTACAGTTCCAGGGTACAGAAAAGTGGGAATCATCAGTTAGATATGGTGGGGTTCTAGCACTTTTGGGGCTGTTTGTGGGTACAATGGTTTTGTGGAGAAGAGGTGGTTATACAGAGAGTTGTGTTGTGTTGGACATTTTATCTGGAAGGTCAGTGCAATGTACAAAGTGTATCTGTTGCTCTGCAAATTTTGCTTGCTGTCATGTGACAATTAATTAATACAGGCTTTCAATGGTGAGTTTTCCAGTCTTCCATTGTGAAGAAAGGCTTGCAAATAATTGTGAGTTGGAAGGTATTTTCATTTAGTGTTCCATGAGATAGGTGATAGGCAATGTGGTCTGTGAGTCTGTAGTTATGCTTTCATAGATGAATGAATTTTTTTTATTTGATCTATTTGGTGCATGATTAGGCATAACTTATCACAAGAATGCTGTGTTTTCTCATGTTGTCAATTCAAATAAATGAGTTAGCATTTTACTATTTGTTAATTACTGAAAGCAATGGAACATCAAATAGGCAGAGCCATTAGTACTGTAGGAAAGGTTCCTTATATTTTGACTTGAGTTCAGGTGTTATGACTCCACATCAGAAAAAAAATCTTTTTTTCAGTTCTTCATTTCTAAAAGCATTAAATAAGATAAAAATTGTGACATTTTGAAAATAATAATGACTGACTTCTAGTTTTTGAAAAGGAATGTCGGTGAGAGATCTATAATGGGTCCATTTTGACCTTTCATTTTGTATTTTTCAGGTAGTCAGACATTATGGACTCCATAGTACTTCACCTTTTGAAATATGCTTTGAGGGACTGAAAAATGCTACAGACTCACTGAATAAAAATTCTAGCATTTCAATTTTCTGTTCTTGTTTCCAGCCTAGTTGGTAATCCAGGTGAAGTGAGTTTGGTAGTGTCTTGTAAATCCCTGAAAGTGTGTAGTACATGCCACAAACCTATAACAGATAATTTAATTTGGATAAGCTAGTAGAACTTCCTCTTCAAAAGAATTTAAAGAATAGACAGAAAATGACCACTTACCTCTTGAGAATGAATCTGTAGGTCAGCTTGTATATAGACAATATTGCAAAGTGTAGCTCCCATAGATCAGGTTTTGTTTTGTCTTCCATGGATTCACAGGACAATTAACTTTAAGTAGGAAATCACTACAATGGTTCCTGAATATTGTTTAAATGATAATTCTTCCAAAGGAGGCCTTCTTTTAAAAGTCGATATAATCTAATTTGTTAAAAATTAATGTTGGTATTATAAAACACTTTGAATAACTTGAAATTAAACTTATTAAAACTCATTTATCTTAAATGCACTAGTGGAAATTCAAAAATCTATAGTAATCTACCACAGATGAGTTATGGTATGTTTTCAGTAACACAAATAAATGAAGGTTTATGCAAAGTAAACCAAAACTGGGATTAAACTAGTAACATTATATAATGCAATATAATATAATATAATATAATATAATATAATATAATATAATATAATATAATATAATATAATATAATATAATATAATATAATATAATATAATATAATATAATATAATATAATATAATATAATATAATATAATATAATATAATATAATATAATA